CGACGTCGACACGCGGGCGCCCACCAGCGCGGTGAATTACGGTTCTCTTGTCACATATCCGCCATTCGCAATTGCCCTCTCACAAATGGCCGGACAGTCACATCGACGTCGGTACTCTTATCGCTTCATTTATGCTTCGCTTCATCTCTCCAGCAACAGCGCCCCAGCTTACTTTTTTAGATTATTTTTCTGTACGTGTTCTAACGCATTCATTTGAAGGTACTCACACTCCAGTCATGCACGCCATTACTTCTAATCGCTATGCTGATAATGTACTGTATCGGTCAACTGCAACTGCTCAATCATCCAGTACTCGAATATACCTCACAAACGGTCATTGCATTCATACCATTATGTAATCCGATCATTTCTCTCACTTATATCACACCTTACCGAAACGTTGTTGTTAAATGGTTTCAACCAGTTGCAAAGAAATACTCCTATCATCCTACGGGTTCTCGAGAAGCCTCGATCTGATGACTTGCACCGTAAAGCTGGATTTCATCTACATAAACTAGTCAGATAGGGCAATCTCTTTTGGAAGTTGGTTTTTCTTAACTGCTGTTCGGATGCTCTTTCGATAACGTCAAAATCTAATGCTCACTCCGTTTGTCAATGCATAATCGTGCCAGTACCGATTAAAAAAGGGTAATAAAAGAATGTTCTGTAGAAGAACGCATAAAGAAATACAGTGACTATGAGCTCGAAAAGAAATGATCACAATAAATATTGTTTCTAGCAACTCCGTGATGTGCTTAAGAATATGAACTAGACGCCCAAAACCGGTGGGCGCAGTTCGGCTTAGGGGGGAGGGGAGAAGCTGTTGCTCTTTTGCTTCTTCCCATTCTCGTGTTAATCATTTTACAAGAGTTGACAGGTATACTTCCCAGGAGTTGGCAAGTGATCTCTAGAAACTCTGATTGTTACTACTACGTGACTTCACAATATTTCATGGATCTCTACTTGATGGCCTGATACGACGATGATAAGTAGCGAAAGTGCAAAATGCCCCTTCCTCAGTCCAACTGCGCCAGAATCGATCCTTATGGCTACGAGGGCCAACGACGCAAGCCAGGAGATCCCTGCTGCGATGACGCGGTGGAAGAGAACGTCGCTGGTGGTGTCATATGCGCGACATTTGCACCAGGACCTAATATGTGTAATGTGGAGGTGCTACAGAATGTCGAGTCACGAACTAACTAATCGCTGCCGCAGCGTGGATCTCTTGATACGCGCCTAACGGTCTACTAGTCCGCAGCTGGTCCACATCAAAGGACAGAAAACAGAAATGCCTTGACCGTTCCGAGAGCGTACTATCTTTCAGAAATAAGTGGGTCCCCCCGCGGCGCAACCAAGCGTATTTGTCTGCGCCCTCCCACAGAGGTAGTGATTTCATACAAACGACACGCGCGATTTCGATAGTGCAAATGACCGGAGTGAGTGCGGGCACGTAATTTTGGCACGCGTCCCCTCTCCAAGCACAATAACACAAAAAACGGCATAAATTTGCACTCTAACCCCGGATATGGGGAGGGCGTGGCTTTACACTTTACTTGAGTATGGCGTAGGATGCGCTTTCATGGGTTTTATCATGCGCTTTTGCTGGTATATTCCCTTTGAGGACAAATCTATCACCGTTATCTTGGCGCTGGGGAAGAACAGACATTACATACCTGTTTTCCCAAATAAAGTCAGCAGCTGAAGCGAGACCAAGAATTTGTGTAGATTTGGAAGTCTGAACGACCAGGCTGTTCTGTGCTATATTCACCACAATCCGAGCGGCAAGGCGCTGCTAGATCACGGTGACTTTGACAAAGGCTAGCGTTATTCAGTCAAGGAGTACTCATTACTGAAAAACGAATCCTTCCAATCTCGAACCCAAGTGGAACGTGCATTATTGATTTTCCGAACTGCTTGCTACACTCGTTGGCGATTAGTTGCCACAGTTAAACAATTCCAGCCTCGAAAATTTTCATCCAAGACACATCTTCCACCTGCCCCAATGACGAAACACTTACATTTGCGCTATGGCATTCAAAACAGGACAACGTTAAACGCGTAGGTTGTCCTCAGCGACCCCCCCTGCCCAGAGTGACACGTTCATGCACTGTCTCAGGAGCGGGACTGTATTGGAGAGCCATTTTCACGCGTCCCGTTTAACTGTTTTTGGTCGCGCGATCCATCTATTGCTGTGGCAATTACCAGGTGAGAAGTGCGTCATTTTTGGCTCGCTGCCTCGGGGAATTACACGGCCATTCAGAGATGCATTTCTCCGTGGGAAAGTCAGTAAGATGCGTGTGTGGGTCGTGGAGGTAGCGCGGAGGTTGCGAGGAGCGGGAGGAGGTGTGAGGTCCGTATGAGTGGAGGGATAACTTGGGCGGTGGAAGCGAAATTCGTTATTTTCGCCAAAGACTTCCCAGCCACATGGATGTTCTGGGGATGATCATTTGTTCTCAGCACCAAACAACTGGACATTCTATAGACGTTATTATGAGAATTTCTTGAAAGAAAATAGCTGCAATAGTTGGACATGCTGTTCACATATGTTGACATAGGATCCTTTACAGTCGATGATGGCACGCTGCCGAAGTAAAGTTGTAGAAAACAACAGCGCCCACCTAAGCGAGAGAGGACGCAAACAAGCAGCGAGTGCGGCTATAGTTGGACGTATAGCTGGTTGTGTGGCGTGTTTCGTCGGTCTGCAGGTTGCTTTTTCGCCGTACGTAATGGTCAAGCTAGAGACATAAAAAAGATCGACTATCACAACTTTCTCAGCCATGCGCATTTTCTCACTCAAAAGGGACGGAAGTGTATACTTTCCTACATGGTACGGGATCCCTGCCCACACCAAAGACATACATCTTTCGCAAACAATGCACAGCGGTCTCTTGAGCGCTTCAAATAGGTCTTGCTATCACACACCGTGCTTACTTAGGAATCGCTTGCGTGTTATCGTACGGCGTGAAATACTTTGGTCCTACGTCCAAGAAATTTGCTGGTTCACCTCCTTTCAACTTGATGATATCCATCGTTGCCATTGCCAAACCAGCACCGTTTACTGAAAACTTAACCTTCGACAGAAATTTTTTCAGTGTAAATCCGATCTAATGAACAAATTTCAAAATATTTTAGTATACCTAAACAGGCAATGTTTCCATCCATGCCTATGTAATTAAGATGATGTTTGTCTGCGTCCACTTCTCTTGAATCCTAAACACAACACATTCGACATAAGAATATAAAAATGTGTGCTTCTTCAAAAGTCCTTCAAAACGTTCCCGCGGTCTTGTTCGCAACGGATACTCCAGGGTGCTGGATTCGGCGCTGCTCCAGCCAGTTTTTCACCAACTGCGATCACCTGCGAGCTTCCATAATTGCTGGAGAACATACTGGCGCAGCGTCAAACCCAGCCCAACTCCCGGAACACCCCAGCGTCTGCAGCAAGCAAGACTAGGTATCGATGGATCTGCAAGAATGACATGTTGCACGGATAATAAATTAACCCACCTGCTCCGATTTGTCTTCCATGGCAAAAATGTCCTGTTGTCTGAAAGCCGCGCTATCGTCAAAATTCATCTTCGCGTCAACACAGTAAACTGCAAAAAAGAAGTAAATGAGACCACAGAAGTTTCAAACAGGCACTATAAAATAAAGGTTTCAATGTGTTGAGCAGAGTCGCGCGGCCGCACCCGTGCATCCATTCCCTAACCAAGACTTGAGGCTGGAGCGCATTGTACCATAGTCGCCCTAGACTACTCAAGCTTAAAGCCATCCCTGCCAAGTGCTTGCGCATGATAGGCTGTCCAACACTCCGGGACCCCTTCCTTTACAGAAGCCTACCTCCTTGCTTGCCACATATTCTTTGATATAGCGCACGTGGTACGTTGCGGACCTAGGGAACAGGGTCTTATTTGGACGCTGGAGGAAAGGATGGGACATTGCCCCTAAGAGAAGAACGTTCTTGGTTGTTGCTTTTTCTCGGCTTTTCTCGTTTCACGCGAGCCAGTTGCCTTTTCTTTCTCACATTCCAAACTCCTCTCTCCCCTCTGCCCGATGGCAGTTTTTCGAGGAAAATTATGGAATTTTCGGGAACAGCTCCATGGAACTGGAAGATGAGCTTCAGTAGCCGCTGCCCTCTATCTCTCTGCGATATCTCGAAGCGACTCTGTTCGTCTTGGCTGCCACATCAGTTTAATTTTTTAAGTACCAAAAAATGTTGGACTCACCACGGCCGTCCTCAGTTTCGACAAATGGATTAATTTCAATCTGGGTGGCATCAACGGCTAGGAACAGTTTATACAGACGTTTAATCTCTTCGGCAGCCTAAAAAAACCGGTAGATGTGTTTTGAGACAGCAGTACTAACCAAACGAGGTTTTTTTAAATAGTTCTCTTTTGAAAAATGGGATTTTCACTGGACCGTCGTTCTCAGAGGTGAAATGATACACTGATGTTCATGAAAACTCCTTAAAATGGACTGTCACTGAACCGCAGTGAATGTTTGCACTTCTGAAAATAATTCAGAGAAGTTTCAGGCTTGCAAATGAAGATTCACGCTGAGAACTTCGGTCGGTACCAAGCACTACATATGCTTTCAGTGAAGCCGAAGTTTTGTTAGAATGAATTTGGACACTAGTATAGTAGGGGACACCAGATGAGACTAGGCCACACTCATTTCCACTGAACCCCGAGGCTACGACTAACAGAACATTACTGGACGAACGCTATCTCGATGGGAGAAGCAGACATACTCAGATCAGGCCTGATCTACTACCGCTGTCATCTGGCTGGACGTATATACAGTATTGTCCGCTGGGTTATTGGGCAGTGTCAGGGGGTGGGCTGCGTTTGGTAGCCCCAACCTGTTCTTCACCCGTCGTTGAAGCAGAAACACGAA